GCGCCGCCCGCCCCGGCCCGGCCCGGCCCCCGCGGCCGCGGCGGCTCCGCGCAACAGCCGCACCGCGCGGGCGGGACGGGGCGGGTTTGTTTTGCTGGCGGAGGAGGCGGGACCAGCGCGGACACCTCGACCGACAGCCCCGAGCGACAGCCGGACACCCCCGCGCCGCGCCGGGGGCAGCGCTCGGTGGCAGCGGGCTCGGACACCCCGCGCCCTGTGGCCCCCGCGCCCCTGCCCGAGCTCCTGCCCGAGCCCCTGCCCGAGCCCCCCCGTCCGGCCGCTCCCGCCCCCGCCGCGGGTCCCATTCCCCACCCAACGGCAACAACGGGCCGGGCGCGCGGCCGCGCTCGGAGCTCACGGCGGGCACCGCGCCTGCCCCTTCGCCGGCGTGAGCCACAGTCCTTGGAGCGCCACATTCCCACCCCAGGGCATCGCCGGCCCCTCGCAGGCCCGTCACCCGCTCCCGTCGCCTGCGATGTTCCAGGCGCGCACCGCCGTTATCCCGCCCCGTGCCTTTCTCCCTCTCATTTCTCAAGACCCTATCCGCTGGTCGCATTATGTGACCGACACTTGTGTTCTAGAACAAGCAGCAGAGACGAGCATTGAGGCCACGTTGCTGAGAACACAGCTGCGATGGGCAGGGCACGTCTCAGGGATGAAGGACCAACCACCGCCTCCCTAAGATCCTGCTTTATGGTGAACTTGCTGAGAGGAGCCACGAAGAAAAGATACAAGGACTCCCTGAAACAACATCTCAGCCTTGGCCATATTGATCAACAGAACTGATCTGCTCTGGCCTCTAGTCAGGAGGTCTGGAGACACAACATCTATAACGCTGCTGATGCCTTTGAGAACACACACAGGATCACTCTGGAGGAGAAAAGACAACGCAGAAAGAACCGTGCCTTGCAGAATATACCTCCTTAGGAGTCTTTCTGCTGTGCCTTTTGCAACCAGACATGTCTGTCTCGCATTGGCCTCACAAGCCACCAGCGTGCCTGTAATAAATGTGGGTAGAGCCCTCCTTAATCTTCGTTTGCGAAGCCCGGCCATGAGTGAATATGAGAACTATCTACAAACCTCTCACCAGCTCTTCAAGGCAATCCCTCAGGTCTGGGATTTTCTGCCCTAAGGGACCAAGACCCTCAAATGACAAAAAACTCTTGACATTTGCCCCAACAAGCAGACGCCACCACCTGCTTCGACAGTCCCACCCAGCTCGAGTATAACTCTGAGTGCCATTTTGTAGCCTAAGCAAAGAGATTTGTCAGCAAGGAAAAAAAAATAATCTTATTTCACCCCTTGAAGAAAAGACAGAAGGTTTCTGTGGTTCCTTTTTCCTCTCACTCACAGCTCTTAGCACTAGACTAACCCTCTCCTATCCAGCTCTCAGGCCCAAATCAAGAGGCTATTTCATTAGAACAACTTTTCACTGAAGCCCAGGTCACATTTTAGTACCTCAAACTTTAGAAATTAAGCTAAAAAATTAATTTCTGCTGGTATCTGGACACATCAGTCATCCACTTACTTCAGTCTTGTTTTATTCAGTGTTTTGAGAAACATGTAAGGCTCACGGTGAGCAAGACACAGAAAGACAAGAAGAAACCAACAGATATGTAACTGTTTGACTTTCATCTCCCTGCTAGAAAATTATTCCACAGGCAGCAGTATTTAAAGCAAACTCTGGAAGGGTTCATCAAGAACCTAATTATTTGCCTTTTATTATGCTAATATTTTATATAAACAGGGTGGTTTAGAGAGTACTGGAGGTCCGAATAACACAGCACAGGAGATGGCAATTAATTTGGAAACACTGCACCTGTACAATTTACTGATAACCATTGAAATATGTCATTTTTCATTAGAAACAAATTTTAAGTATTCACAAGTATCTAGGTTTTAGGTTGGTTTTTTTTTCCCCCATCTGCTGGAAGATTTCTCTGGCTTTAAGAAAAGCAGGTAAATTACCTACTGTTGAGCACTGTTGGGATTAAAAGCCTTGCTTAGCACTAGAAATGAAAGCAGTCGAAGCCTCGGGCTGCAAGAGTTGACCAAGAGATAAAATTAATATTACAAATGCAAAGCTAGCTGAAACTGGAAGATACAAACAGAATGAAGAAAGGGAAACAATTCCAAGGGAATGAGAGGAAAGCCAGCCCAGTGACTAAGACCAGCAAGTCAGCAACAGTCAGATGACAACTCATCTTGGAGCAGGAACCTGGGGCTGAGCCCTGCTGAGGTGGCATCCACATGCAGCTACATCATTCCTGACACAGCTACCAGACATACAACCTTATTTCACTAAGATTTTTTTAGCTCATCAACTCAGACTTACTTTGTTGTTACTCTGTTCACCTGCAAGTCATTTTCTCTTCAGCAGGAACACCTGGAGTAAAGGAAAACAGAGCCAGTGTCTGGAATACTTTAAAAAAGCATAAAATATGTCATAGAAGTTCCTGCCTGGTTTCTCTCCAAGACTTACAGCCTTGGTTTATCCTGTTAAAAATAAAGTTTGTGCAAGTGTTCTGTCATTCTATTTTTCCTCAACTCCAGCTAGAGGACGAGGAGAAAGTACAACTGAAGCTGTAGCACTCATACAATATATTGTTATTTAAAAATAGCAGTCATGGTACAATCCTATTTATTTATAAAAAAAAAAAACAAACCCCAAACTAAAAATTCCAAATAAACAAACAAAAAACTAAACCAAAACCAAACCAACCCAGAATTTAGTGCAAATAATGTCTAAATCAAGTTCCTTTTAGATTACTTAATTTACTTCTCAGTACACATCTCTAGAAACATGGATGAAACAGAGAACTAGAACCTGCAAGAGGAGGTTTTAAACAAAACAAGCAATTTTGGTTTTAATCCATCTCATAGAAGCATTTCTCTCTAAACATAAATAAATAAGACCATTCTTAAAAGCAAGAACTATCTTTTCCTTGTTGCTAGATTACAAAGAGAAACACTGTGTTGCCATTCTCACTACAGGGAGAAAAAGAAGAATTCCAAACCCAGATAGTGGTACCTTAAGTGATTAAAGCATCAAATCCATCCATAATTTCTCCAGTTTGGTCCATAATTTCTCCAGTTTGGTCCATAATTTGGGCCTGGCTGGTTGATCACAGGCACTGCTTCTTTCGCAGTGCATGGATAAAGCAAATTACACTCTAGTGATCGTTTAAGTTTGCTGTGCATAATGGGAATGGAGAAATGAACAAGAGAAATCAGAGTTCTCTGACAGAATTCGAAATGTGTCATCCCAACATAGTGTTTTTCACTCAAAAGCACTGTGCATCCCTGAGCCCGGTGTGTTTCCAGCCCTCTCTGTGAGTCCCCAAACACTGTCTATGAGCCCTCAAGCTCTGTCTGTGAGTCCCCAGCCCTGTCCTTGTGTCCCTGAGCCCTGTCTGTGTTCCCAGTCCTGTCTGTGTGTCCCTGAGCCCCATCTGTGTTCCCAGTCCTGTCCGTGTGTCCCTGAGCCCTGTCTGTGGGTCCCTGAGCCCTGTCTGTGTTCCCAGTCCTGTCCGTGTGTCCCTGAGCCCTGTCCGTGAGTCCCCAAACACTGTGTGTGTGTCCCCAAGGACTGTTCCTCAGTCCCTGAGGAGGCAAAGGCGGCAGAGGTGTCAGCGCCACAGCCACACAGGATGGGTCCCCACCGCCCTCGTAGCCACGGTCTGACGTCATCTTGCCGGGGACAAACACGGTATGACATAATCACCAGCCCCACACTCACCGTGACGTAACCGCCAGCAGCATGACGTCACCATCAGCAGCATGACGTCACCTCTTCCCCTCACACGGCGGACGCACCTTCCCGCCACCCTTCCGGCCAATCCGCGAGGCGCTTGCACCGCAGCCTCTGGCGGCCAATCGCGGGGGCGCTTACAACCAGCGCCGGGGCCGCCGCCGCCCCATTGGCCGCGCGGGGAGCGCCGCCCGGCGCTGATTGGCGGGGGGCGTGTCCCGGGCGTCCTCGCGCCGTGAGGGCCCCGCGGGCCCGGTCCCGCCATGGCGGCGCCCCCCGGGCCGCGCAAGCGGAGCGGCCCCGCGCTGAGCGGGGGCAGCGGCGCCGGGGCCGCCCCGCCGGGGCTCCGCAATGGGCTCCCCCCGCACAAGCGCCCCAAGAGTGCCGCGGCCGGGCCCGCCGACCCCTTCGGTGACAGCGACGACTTCACGGCGGACGACCTGGAGCAGATCGACATCCTGGCCTCGCAGGCGCTGTCGCAGGATCCGCCCGCGGGACTCGCGTGGGGACCCCCGGGGCTGCCCCGGGGCGGGCGGGAAGGTCGGTGTGTCGCGGCACTGCCCCGCTGCTGAGCAAGGGGTTGTTGTCCCTTTAGGAATCATGGAATGGTTCGGGTTGTAAGGACTTGAAAGATCATCCAATTCCCACCTCCTGCCTTGGTCAGGGACGCCTCCCGCTATCGCAGGGTGCTCCAAGCCCCGTCCAACCTGGCCTTGGACACTTCCAGGGTTGGGGCAGCCACAGCTTCTCTGGGCAACCTGTGCCAGGGCCTCACCACCCTCAAGGAACAATATTTTACCAATATATCATCTAAACCTGCTCTTTTTCAATTTGAACCCATCTCCCCGTGTCCTGTCACTACATTCCCTTGTAAATACTCTTGCTCCATCTTTCCTGTAAGTTCCCTTCAGGGAACTGCTTCTGCTCTGGCCACCAGCCCCCCCCATCCCAGTGTCAGATGGCTGGGATTCAAAGGAATAACAGAAATAACAAAGGAACAGTAACCCCAGCAGGCACATTGCACTGAGCTGTGCCCTGGGGGGTGTGTGGTGATCCTGGCCTGGGACGTGGGTGCTGCGTGTTAAACCTGCCAAATAAACGAGTTTCATAAACTTTTAACTTGCTGTAGTTACCATTCACAGCATCATCATTCACTTTTGTATCCTGGTTGGATGCTGGCCACCAGATTATTTTTTCCCCTGTTAGTTTTCACTGGTAAATGCATAATGTGTCATATTAAAGCAGCTGATTTTCAGGTTTACTTTGAAAAAAGCAAAGCAAACCAGGGGGTTGTTCACAGTGAAGTTTAGAGAGCTTAAATCCTCTTAAGTTTAATGTTTTGGCAGTGCTGACACCTGCCATCTCTCCAGGTGAACAAGTTCTCAGTGAACCCTTGTTTGTGCAGGGTGTGTTTAACTAAAGTTACCTGCAAGGAATTGCTCACATTTGCTGATGGCCTTCTTTCTGCTTTAAGATATTAAAAGATCTTAAAGGTCCCTTCCAACCCAAACCATTAGATTAGAAATTGGGGGGTGGAAGGGTGTTCTCTGTTTTAAGGATTGATGCACAAGCACTGACAAGGTTCCTGTGGTGGTTAGGTGAGGCAGTTTACCTGTTTGTGGTGATGGTATAAATACTAAGATATTCAGATGTATGAAATGGCAAATAACATGGTGTTGAGTCCCCAGTGATGTTCACACATCATCTGTGCTTCACATCTTGGCTTTTCTCTGCAGCAGAAAGCAGAGCAGAAGATGGGCTGATGAGAGATGCATTCCAGTTTGAAGTACTGCAGACACAGAATGAAGAAAACAAACAGAAGGTTGGCAACATTTTCCCCTCCTCTATAAATGTCACATTTTTGGTAGGGCTGACTGAAAGGTGGGATAAGTCCAGTTCCAAGCATTTAATTCGAACCAAGTTGATCAATAATCTTTGTAATCCAGAGGTCTGTTAAAATCGTTATACTAGAAACAGCTCTAGTAATAATTAAGATTGAGACCAGTAGTTTATTTCTTGGTCACTTCAGAGTAGCAAATGCTTATTTGTCAGTTTTACGTGTTCCCTGTCAAATCAATTCTCTGTCCTGTCAGCCAGTCAGCAGGAGTTGTTTTGTGCAACTTAAAGATTTGAGAAAGCAAAGTGACTTTAAAGTGGCTTCATGTTACTTCACCTCCTGCTGATCCATTATGGAAAGATACTTAGGGCAAGAAACAGATGTAGAAAAGTAAGAAGGCACAAATTCCTGTACAAAGTCTCTCCTTTTTTGGTGCACAGCTTAGGAAGGAAGTAAGCCTTGGACAAGTTTATATTTTACCAGAACAGCCTTTTAGCCTCTGATCAAATTTCATGTAGGTACTTCCTGATCCAGAAATATTATATGTGGATTTAATAGTCTGTTGTGTATATTTTTTTAAACACTCTGTGTTTGGGTGTGGATACCTTTTATAGGGAAACAGGTCAGCACTTTTAACACAAAATTTCTTCTTTGATTTAATTTTGAACTTAATAAGTGGGTGGGTTGTGGCTGCTATGAGAGACAATAAACAGAGAATAACTTGTGCACTTGCACCTCGACTGATCTTTGTTTCTTTGTGTTTTCCCCCAGCTGGGAGGGTCCTACTCTATTTACCTTTCTTACCTCTGATTTCTGAATCTTTCCCAGCTCTGTTATATCCATCTTTATCAGGGAATCTCCTACCTGTAGGATGGTAGAGTTTTTGCAGTTGTGTAGAGGAATCTTCTTGCTTTTTTCCTCATGCATTTCTGAGGAACTCATTCATTATCTCTCCAAAGTCTTGTCTCTGAGTGGTATTGCTGCTCAGGAAATTAGAGAGCAAATATGTCATGAAGATACTGTCTGGGGGTGGTGCCTTGTCTTAGAACAGAGTTCTTGTTGTCTGCCCTGCTAAATGAAATATTACAATGAAATTAGCAGTGTTATCATCCCAATAATGAATAAATTATTGATGTGTATGACTAGAAGACTTTGAAAGAAAAAGTAACAATTGCAGAGGAGGGGAAAGAGAAGGATGGTCTTTGACAGATATCAGAATGGTATGTGAGTTGTGTCTTTGCTGTCATTTATAATTCTGTTAGAGAAAACAGTAGCTGAGTTTCCTGATTTAATCAGGATAAGGTTAGAGGCAACATTGCAGAATTTTTGAACTGGGTTGCAGGAGAATTTTCCTCCCTAGAAATTATAAATAAAGACCTAACTTTCAACCACACAGTGATGCAAATACATACTTTTGGCTGTGTACATCCTTTAATGGAATTTCTCTGTTGGCAGCTGAAAGAAATGCAGGATGAAATTCTCACTAAAAATGGAGAAATTAAAATTCTGCGTGACTCACTGCAGCAGATGAGGTTTGCTGTGGAGGAACAGAAAAGATCATACCTGCTACTGGAACAGCAAAAATCTCAGACCTTGAGTGAAAAAGAAAAAGAGTTCTCCAAAAAGGTTTGTAAATATATCAATTCCCTGCAGATCAGATACAGAAGCCAGTTTATGAATTAATGATGTCACAGACCGTTTAGTCAGAGGGAGAACACCGGTGGGAAATGTCCAAACGATGCATGCTTTTATTTTCTTATCTAAAAGAAAGCATTTGTAAGAACTTGCAGAGGGTTTTCTCCTGCCAAAACAAAAGAGTAAAATTCAGATGGTAGAGGTTTTCACTTGCTGCCTTTTTTTTTTTTTAAGCCACCCCAAGACCATTAAAACTGGAATGTATTTTACAATGGAAAAAAGAGACAGAGCATGCTCCAAGGCTCTGATCAGGTTGCTGTGCCTGTTGCAGTCATCTTTCTGAGAGCCCTGAAGAGGACAGGGGCTGCTTTTGTGCTGTTCTCTTTGGTCATGCTCTGTGTGGCACTTGGTCTGTCTTAGCCAGTCCCAAATGCTTCTTGCCTGAACTTGTGGCACTTGGTTCTCAGATAGCGTTAATTGGGCTAAGATTCATAAAAATGGAGATCTTGTGCAGAGTTCACAGATGGTTATCTTGAACTCTTATGGTAACTCCAGTTGCTCTGCAGTTACAACACCCCCGAATTACTCAGTAACAGGAAAACTGTCTTTAATTCCTCTTCCAGTTGCAGTCGTTGCAGTCAGAGCTGCAGTTCAAGGATGCAGAAATTAATGAGTTAAGAACACGACTTCAGAACTGTGAAAGAAATAAACATGTTGTTACTCAGACAGTTCCAACAACAAGGTAGGGGGGGTTGGAGAAGGAATTTGTTTTCATTTTTACAAAATGTGTGCTTAAACTATTTAAAAAGGTTTCCTTTCTTCATGTAATTTTAGCTCCGTTGTCTTTAAAAAGTACAACCACAAAGGTCTGTTCACCTCTATGAAATTTGCTCAAAAAGAGCCTTTCTTGTATCTAAGACAGAAATTCAAAGAGTTTGTAGTGAAGTAGCTTTAAAACATCAGTGAAAATAAAGTAGACTCTTGCTCATTGTTTAATAAAATAACTACAAAAGAAATACTGATTCACCTTTTTATATTAGCCCTAAAAAGAATTTTGCAGTACAAGTGAAACCAGAAGGATGTTCTCCACAGCCTGGAAGAAGATCTTTTCCTACAAAAGAATCCTTCAGTGCTGAAATGTCCACTAGACCATCGTGTTCTTCAGGAAATTTGATGGCCCCAACTAGTTCAATCAAAGAAGGTAAATCCATGCACAGCTTGCCACATTTGTAGCTGCATGTGAACATTCTGCCTTAGAGAAGGGGTTTTGTACTACATGACTGAACAGTTGGAGTAAATTCACTGTAGACAAAAGCAATTACTTTGATTTTGGTTTTCCTTTCATTTCTTTCCCCTTTATAGCCACTGGAGTTAAACAGCCATGACTGAAATTTGCATCAAGGCCATTTTAATCCACACCTTGGTACCAGATGCCCAGGTGCCAACGATGAAGGGGCCCATTGGCTGCAATAAAAAACTTTCCTGTATTATGTGATGAACCAAAATATCCAAACTGTTGATCTGCCTTTTCTCATTGAATAAAGAACAGGAAGTAATTTGCCTATTTCTTGAATTGGTCTGCTAGTCAGCTAAAGCAATTTTTGTATTCTTGTTGTTCTGGCTTTTTTTGGGGGGGCAGGGGAGGTTGGATTTTAAAGGGTACATATTTAGCCACACTGAAAGAAGCAACGGAAACAATATACTCATTTCCTCTTTTATGTGTGGGGCAGTAATTCTCACAACATTTTATCTTGAAATTCATGGAGGAAAGCTTAGGAAATCAATATCTGCATGTTTTTGAAGATTGCTATAATATGAAACAAAATCAGTGGGGTTTTTTATAGCAGCCAGCTGCCATGTTTCCAATGGGAAATAGTAAATGGAAGAAACTTGGATATCATCAACTAATCCTTACAGGAGTCATGAAAAATCTGAGATGTTGCTGCCAGTTCCAGTGTTCAGGCTGAAACTGTGTGGGCAGTAGGGACTGCACCAAAAAGAAAAATGCAGTAGCCTTAAAGCATTAGAATTGCTGCTGCTGGTTCTGGTAACAGCACTCAATCTGCCAGTTTGTTTGAAAAAATGACACTTCTTTACTTGCCTTCTGAACCCTGCAAGGCTTTTGGCTTTAGTTTACCTGGTAACTGGGACACAGAGAGAGATGATTAAAAGATTATGAAATGCTCAAATTACTTTTTAATTTATTTCTTTAGACTTTTGTGTTAATTTTTAGCTGCCCTAAGCTCTGCTAGCAGTGGGAATTCAACTTAAGGAATAGGAATTCTGCATTCACCACTGCTCTTAACTACTGGTTGATGTATCTGAGTGTACAAAACAAATGTTTTTTGCCTGGTTTAGTGTCTGAGTCCTTACTGTCTAACACTGAGGGTGTGCAGAGGATGGGCAGAGATCTCTAAGCAAGGCAGTTCTCACAATCCCTGTTTGTTCCAGACAGTAAGATGACCCATCCTGAAGTTTCATCTGTGAAGCACCAGGAGGCAACGGGAAAAAACGGTTCCTACAACTCTGCACCTAAACGGAGCACACGAGGTAACTTAATGCTGTTCCTGCAGAAATAAACCCAGGAAAAATGTACTTTAAAAAAAAAAACAAACAACACCAAGCCTATAAAACATAAACAGCCAGCTCTAGGAAGTCTTTAGGGAACTTAGTTCCAATTCACAGCAGAATTGCATCACGTCATTGTAATATCTGGAGTGGAACATGAAGGGCAAGTCATCGGGACAGTTGGGACACACGGTCATTTGGCTCAAGTTATTCTGCTAATATGGGATTGTAATTAAAATATCTCTAAATATAGTTTGGTTTATATTTAAATACTATCTTAATTTTTCTGAAAATCATTCCCTTGGTTTTGAGAAAGAAGATTCATAATAAAAAAAAAAATCACTTTGAGGTTGAGAGCGCTCCAGATAAGGCTGATCTTTTGAAATGTTAAATTTTTGTTGTTGGAGATGGTAAAGCTACTCCAAGGACAGTTCTGTGTCCCTTCAGGTTCAATCTTACTGAATGCACTGATGAAGCAGCCCATTGTCCCTGGGTCATTACTAGGATTGTGCCATCTCCTCAGCAGCAGCTCTGAGCCTCTACCTGGAGCTGTGTTGCAGCCTAACTCTCTGGATAGGTAAGTTTTATGGGTTTTTTGTTAAATTGTATCTGACATGTTCTTAGTACAGTGGCATTTCCTGTACTAAGAAACACTTAGTCATGTAGGACAGCTCATTCTGTGTGTTAAATGCTGTTTTGCTTAGGCCATTTAATGCAGAATTTAAAACATCCTACCACGTGTTTGATGATTGATGTGTGATTATTGTAGATATTAGACAGTGGAACATCACTAAGTGATAAATTAGGTTAATCATCTATTAGGGGAAGGCACAGAATTAAACCTGGGAGTGGCTGTTAGCAGCTTGCATTGAGGGGAAGGACATAAACATGATCATGAGTTAAGTGGGAAGGAAATGTTGAAAATGTGATTAAAACAGTAGGTTTTATATCTTCAAAGTCGAAACTGTGTTTAATTTGTAATGTACAATTTCTGTGCATTTTTCCAAGTGTGCATTTTTATAGTGACTGGTAAAGCCTTTTAAATATGAATATCAGATATAAATTATAATTGTTTTTCACTTTAAAGAATTAGACTGTAGTTCCTGAAATACCTTTGTTTTTCTGATATTTTATTAGTAGTTCTTGTGTTATGTGGGTTCATACAGGGCTCATATCTCATTGCCCTTGCCATTTATGCAGGAAGAAGTGGTGAGTTTGTCCCTTGCAGCTACAGTTTGACTGGTTAATGACTGAACACTCTCTGATTTCTGGCCAGGAAAATAATTCTTTACTGTTATAGTCCTTTAAAAACCCCTAAATATTCCAGATCAGTAACGTACAGATACTTATTCTTCCCAGAAGCTACCAGATAACATCAGGGAAGACTATATGACAGGTTAGCAAAAGCCTGAAGTGGGAAAGCCAGTGTTTGAAATGTAGTTTCAGACAGTGGCTTATAGTGAGCTGCTGAAGTTACTCACCTGTAAGCTCTGGCTACTTTAATGAGACTCAGGAATGCTTTGAAATTGCTCTTCCGGGCAGGTCTCAAGGAGTAGGATGATTTTTTTTCCCCCTCCCAATTCATATTTTATTTTTGGGAACAGGCATTTCTTATTACTCTGGCCTTTCTTATTACTCTGGCCTTTCTATTGTTCAGTTCATAAGGTGGATAACTCAGATTTCAGCTATGTTCTCTGCCTTGTCCCCTTGGGTAGGAAGTCCACACAACACCCCAGCAGCAGGACAGCGCAAGAAGAAACCGCTCCTCTCGTGTCCCTGCAAGAAGCTCAAAAACTTGCAATAACAGGATTGAACTTGATCGCTATGGACCAAGGATCAGCTGAAGGAAGCCCAGCAGAAGGGCAGGGAGGGCTCCTGCCCCTCCCACAGTGCAGGATCCGAGGAGCTGTGCACCTCCTGCCCCTGGTGGAACACCACGTCGGTGCCTATTGCCGGGCGGGACAACTGCCGGACACGGCCGGGAATGGTTCCTGTGGAAACCATTCCACTGTTTCTTCCAGAACCAGCACAAGTTCGGTGTCGAGTAAGGAGGACTCCAGGTTGTCTCTTGAGGAAACTGCAGTTATATCACTGGGAATCCTTTATTACTTGGTGTTCTATAGCTGGGACGTTGTCCACACATTGCTGGCTGCCGGAGTGGAAAAAGGTGCTGCTGCTGCTGCTGGAGACAAACAGGTTTCCAAGATGGACAAAAATGTGTTGTGTGACAATCAGTGTGATAATAAAGAAGATACCAGGACACAAGGAGGGCTGCCTGCAGCTCCACAGGATGCTCCCAATAATGATCGAGCTCAACATTCTTTATTTAAAAAGCTTCTTCAGGTTTTAGCTTTTTCTGCTGCAAGGGGTTCCCAGACTGACAGAATCCTGAGCCAGAGCCTACAGGTTTTGGTGAAATTAGCTGAAAATTCAACAATGGACTTGCTAATAAAGTAAGTCAGTTTTACAATGATTTCAGACTCTGGTGTTCAGCAGTTTCCATCCCCTGGTGAAACCAATATGTGCAGATACAAGTAGAAGTTTTGCCCTGTATGAGAGAAATCACATTTCTCAGATCACCTTTGGGGAGCAGTTGAGGATCTTTCTATTACCTTTGCTGCTAATAAGTGTGATAATCATCCCTGATCAGTTTGAAAGTGAGGAAACTTTTTAAGGCCACATGCATTGGATCAGAATATCTGTAATATTGATTTGGGGGGTTTTTTTGTGAGTGCTGGGAGATGCTTAAGGAAGGAGAGCACAGGGCCTCATTCTGGCAGGTAAAATGCCAGTCAAAAGTGAAGCATTTCATCACAACCAGTGTGAACTGCAGTGACTGCCAGGTGTCACAATGTTTTTCAGTAATTTGAGATCAGTTACGTTCTGAATAGCTAAAAGGGCACAAATTATGGGGCTGTGTACAAGAAATGGTGCATTTTCAACTTGTCAGTGCATTTCCCATTCCTAACAGAGCTTTCTTTTGAAGTTTTCAGCAGTTGCTGAGCAGCCAGACCCTGCTGCACTGCCTGTGTCCAGAGACCCCCCTGCCTGCTGTCCTCCTGACCGTGAGACTGCTGGGTGTCCTCTCTCAGCACCAGGGCTTGGCTGCTCAGCTGTGCTCTCACTCAGGTAAAGGACACAGAGCACTGTTACCATCACTCAAAGGAATGCAAACAGGCCTTGCTCCGAGGTGCTGAAACCCCAGAAGGCAAAAAGCCTGATATGCTTCCTGAAACCTTGTTTTCTAGTGCAGGGTTTCAGTTATTGTTTAAAGATTATTTATCTCAGGGCATCTGCCTACGTGTGGTGCTTTTGACAGCCATGTGGATTTTTAAAATTTTCAAGATTAGCATTCGTTGTATTAAAGGTTGTTGAAGAAAAAAGGGGGTTTGAGGAGTTCTGAGGTTTAAATATCTGTGCATTGTTGAGCTTGGGGATTCCATTACCCTGCCTGACAAATGGTCTCTGTCCAGTTCCTTATGAATGAAGTAGGACAGGATTAGCATGAAGGCAACATACAAAGTTATGGGATACTAATTTCTTCAGCACTGCTTAAGATGTGTGAAGCAAAGCAAGAAGTGGGGCCTGTACCACAAGTCCTAGGAGAGCACTCGAAATGTGAATTAATTTTTAATTAAAAGAATTAATTTTTGTCATGAACAATTGACTGAAAGAACAAAGTTCTCTCTGTTTCAGACACCTGCCTTCTCCTTGCACTGTACATGTACATAACATCAAGACCAGATAAATCAGCATCTGAAACGCTTTGGCTTCAGCTGGAACAAGAGGTAACAGTGGCTGTTTGTCCACATGCTCTTTCCTGTTCTTTCCAGTTGGGGGAGTGGGAGGAGCAGGACAAGGCACGAATTGCCTGAAAACAATTTCTTTCTCTAGCTGAAATAGAAACTGAAACTATGGGCCTGCAGTAAGGGATTACATTGATCTTTTTTTTTATTTTTAAAAGGATGGGCTTGAAACTGAATCATTAACTATTCTAAAAGAGAACATCTGTCATGATATCTTTTAAGTCACTGAAAAAACAATACAGATTCTAGGATGGCTACAGATGTTCAACACCAAGCTTTATTTTACTTTTAGATCAATAGAAGAGTAAAAAGAAGCAAGATCTAGGTTTCATTTTCATTGTCTTAATTCCCTCTATTACATCTAAAAGGCAGACCAGAGTGGTTTAGGATTATATTCCTTGTATTCAGTGGAAATGCTAACTTGCTGTATAATAGCCATGGTTATATATGGAAAGAAAGGCTGTTAAATTTAATTTGTGTTGTTTGTACTGACAGAAGTGACTTGAGGTTCTATTTGCTCCACTTCTGCTCTCGTTTTAAAGAGTTTTGAACCCTTCCCATTATCCCCCTGCCTGCTCTGTTACACTAAAGTACATTTGTATGCAGTGAATTAAGGCCCCCTGACCTTGTTAAAGCCGAAAAGGTTTCTGTGCAAGGCAAATTCTACCTCTGTAAAGTTTTACAGGGAAAAAAAACTAATACACTTTGGGGGCATAAAGGAGATCAGCTGTTCAGGGAAAAAAAACCCAAGAAGGTTGGAAAGCAGCAGTGCAATCCTGTTTGTGCCCGTGCCTGTGTGCAGCTCAGCCCCTGTGTGTGTCTGTCACAGGCTGTCCGGCTCCTGACCCGGCGCACGAGGTGCTCCAGAGCAGCACTGCTGTCACCTGGCACAGCCTGTCAGTGCAACCTCGAGGTGAGTCACCACAGCCCCCGACTTTAATCTGCTGAGAACTTCCAGGTACTCAGAGCTGGAATAGCTTTCTGCCCCCCCTCCCCCCCCTTGTTTTAGCTACAAGGAAACAGAAGTGTCCTGCCACCTCCCTAGGGGGCTTGCTTTGGCTTGCTAGAAAATAATCTCTTCAAGCTTCTGAATTTCACAGAGTAAAGTTCACAAGGAAAGAAGTTTTCTGCTGCTGTGTTTTTACTTTGTGTTTTTCCTCTTGCAGGTGGTTAAGGCACTAATTATAATGTTACACAGGCAGTGGATGAAGATGAGAAGAGCTGAGAACAGCTCGTGTGCACATAAGGAGCAAGTTATTCAGTTTTTACGAGATGCTGTTTTACTCTTGCACAGCCTATCTCAGAAAGATAAGCTGTTCCATGAGCACTGCTTAGAAGTTCTCCATCAATATGACCAAGCCATGCCAGGCATAAGAGCCATTCTCAAAAAGACTAAAAAACTGAGTGCCTGTGAAGGTAAAAATCAGTCAGATGTTGGCTTTTTTCCATGCTGTAGAAATAGAAATTTCCCTTCTGCCCCTTTCCTCATTTAACAAGTACCATGGATGGTTCCTGCTCAGACCTCTGAAGTCAGGCCATAGTCTTGTGCTTCTCAATATTCACTATACTTAACCAATGCTTTACTATTCTTCTTTAATAGTTGTATCTTGTTCTTCTCTCCAGAGAAATACACCCCTACAGTCTGTTTGCTGTCTACAGTTCAGGATGTTTTAAAATGTAGATACCACTGATAGTTGCACTGTATCAAGTAGAAAAAATGACTCTCTGAAACATGACTATTCGTTGTTGCAGAGCTGATTTTGGATGAGTTGTATCCTTCTGAGCCAGAAGACCAAGGAATGGACTCCAGCTAGCCAACATCTCACACAGATCTGTCCTTCCTCATCTGAATCATCCTAATCATTGCCAGTGCAAATGTGAACTTTAAATCATCCCTTTGTTAAGTGACAGCCTAAAGGTTGCATTCAAAGGCAGCACAACTAAGACACATTTCTTTGCTGTAATTATTTCAGTGCCATCGAAATGTAGCTGAAAGTAAACAAATTTTGAGATGAGAATGACACTGCAATGGACTTATGATTGGCCCTGGTTATGAATTTCATCCTGTACAAAACTGCTGGCAGTGGAATGGAAATGTCTCCCCGTGTCCTCTGTTTTCCTGTGACTACAGCTGAATTTATGATGCTGAACGTGCCAAGATGTTTGGGATCACTGCATTCATATGAAAGCCTTTTGAACACACTTTCTTTTGCAATTTTAACTCTTTCTTGCTTGACTTCCAAAATTTTCATGTTGGTATTAGTAAACAGTTCACAGTGATTTTAAAAACCTTTCTAGAAGTAACTTGGAGTTGGCAGTTCACTACAGGGCTTGGAATTTCTTGCTGAGAATTGGTCACCTGAGTTCACTCGATTTTCATGAATCTGCTGAAAGTGTAACTATGGAGGCACCAAAACAAACGAACAAAAAATACTAGACCTTACATTTTTTTAAAATTCACCTTGAAAGAGTAAGATGGTGCTGTTGAGGACTCCATCCTAGGTTATAAAGGGATATTTAAGTGTGTGCAGAATGACTGGGGCTCTTTGGTCACTGTGAAGATGAATGACCATCTCCTTCCTAGGATACAGCACTGAAGGTTGGAGGAAGAGCTGCTGCTCCCTGCACAGTCACACTGGGCTGCAGGTTATCAACTGAGCCTAAAAAGGGAGGTGTGAGTGCTTTTAAAATGAGCCCACGGGTTTGTATTTATAAATGGGAGAGCTCTTTTCATTTTTCCACAGGTGCTTGATTTAGAAAGAGCCTGGATCCAGGGAACAGGAGGAGGAGAGACCATACTACAGGGGGAAGGAAGCTCTTGGAAAACTGGGAAACATTCAGTTCCCTGGTCACGCCCTGTGTCCTGCCCTGGGGCAAAGAGCCCCACTCCAGTGGGCTCAAAGAGCTCCTGACTTGGTTTATGCTTTGGAAAAGAACTTTTCCAGAGACTGCTGTGCAGGAATAACCAGGGAAATAATCCATCATCTCCCAAGGGCTGAAGCTTCTTCCCAGCACAGCCTGGGCTCAGCCTCCCCCTCCCGGAGCAGCAGCTCTGCAGAGGCAGGACCAGGTTGTTCCTGTGAAACACAAGCTGCCAACTGCTCCTCTCAGCAGCAGGTTTCAAGTCCCTTGTAGCATCTGGAAAACTGCCATTTTCCTGCTTAAATGCAGCAAGGAAGGATGAACATGCACATAACAGCAAGGCCTTCTGAGCCTGTGTGTGATTGCACGGCCACAAGCCTGGAACTGCCCCAGGGCCCTGGACAAGACACCAGAGGCTGTGTGACAAAAACAACAGTTGGCTTATCCACAGAAAACAAACAAATAGAAATTCAATACAACACAACCCCCCACACAAACAAAAACCCAACACCAGCCACCATTTCCTGGCCTGCAGGATTAGATGAGAGAGAAGAGCTTGAGAACGTCACGTAAAAGCCCTTTCCTTCCTCAAAACCAAAATAAACACTAAGATAATTCTTTAAGAACAGCCCCACGAGCATGAGCTGTGGTAAAGCTCTATCTGAACATGAGCCTGCTGTGAGTGGCAAGCTTAGGACAGCTCTAACGAAGACATGACAGTCACAATATCCCAAAATACAGTGACCTGCCATCACTTTTTAACTGTTCTCACCACTTAGTTTCTCTAAACAGAATTTGAGTTTATAGAGATAAGATACATTTAATCCCCTTTGGGTGAACAGACCAAAACTGTTAAGAAGAGTTTGGACAAAAACCAGTTAATGAATCCCAAACTGTTGAAGCAATCCAACTATAAAAACTTGTTTAAAAAATTCCTGGCCTCATCCAAAGGGTGTGTGTGTGTATGGCAACTTGGAAAAAGGGAAAAGTGGATTATTGCTGAACTTTATATAAATGGAAGTGTTATCTGTGGAAAAAACTGCCAGGAAAATCCCTAACTGTTCCCTCCTGCCTCTGCATCCCCTCCCATCCACCCACTCACAGACACCACCTGGACATGTACTTTTACACTCTCAGTTTTCTTCCAGCTTTTGACTTTTAACTGGTATAACCCAGGCTCCATACCCCAAACAGACCCAAACCCCTACATTTCTCCTGGCAGAAATTATGGTAACATCACAGTGTTATGAAATTAAACCAGAGCTTTTAAAGTTAAAGGCGTTTCCTGTGACTGAAAAGTTCACATTCCTAAAGCAAAATGAGGCTGCATTCCCAAAGAGAAAAGGCAGAAATAAACATACTTACAGGACTGCCATAATTCCCTATTTGTTAAATCATTTATGGTGACCAATCTTTCGTTGGAATTATTGCAGGATTGTACTGACCTTCAGTAATTCTTCCTTTTTTACATTCTCTTGGAATTTTTCTTGGGATTAAAAAGATCCAACCATGTGTGCAATAGCTGATTATCCCCTGAAAAAAACTGAAGCATTTTTTACACATTTTGGGGCTACTGCTTTACTGTCTTCGTGACCCAAAACCAAGAGGCAGCTCTCATCAGACAGTCCCTGAAGAATTCCCAGCAGAGCAGCTTTCCCGTGGCCAGTTTGCATTTCCCCAACATGTTATGGATAAGCTGTGCCCCTGTATTAACTGAGAAAAGGAATTTACTCTGGCACTGAGAGCAGTCACAGGACTGAACAATGAAGTGTTGAGCAACAAGGAAAACCACTGGGCATGTTCTACACATGATTATCACATTCCTCAGCTGCAGCCACCCATCTGTTCCCTCGCCTGTGGGGATGGCAGACGGAGTTTCCCCTTGGATAAGCTGAGCTGACCAGAGCTGGAGTTTTCCTGCTCAGTGAACTGTACTTTGCACACTTTGTAGAATCACGGACTGGGTGAGGCTGGGAGGGGCCTCTGTAGCTTACCTAGACCAGCTCCCAGTCAAACCAACCTTCCCCTGAGAAGACAAACAACTGGTTTGTGACACATCAGGCCTCAAACCCCATTTTTATTAACTAAGCTGAACTAGGTGAGGATGGCAAATACAAAATATCTCATCATGTAGCAACAGCCCCAAGTTGCTTTTATTCATATTAATCCCACTAGTGTGAAACTGCTTAAAAAACACCTTTAGCCTGTGCCAAACTATTAGAACACTAAGTCATCTTAACCATTGAATAATGTTTTTATGTTACAGTCTGCAATATTATTTATGGTTATAGTGGCCAAATGGTTACAATTAAAGTCAAATGTAGCAGTTCTGCCTACAAAAGGGCTGTGTATTATCTGCTGTGAATGTAACAGCAAATGCAAACTTACATTTCCAGCGTAAATTGTTAAAAATAAAAACTGCCCACCAGTGATTCTAACAGCAGACTGATAAAAAAAGGTGATCTGTGAGCTGTATAAAGATCTACAAACCCACTGTGGCTGTAGTTTATCCCAGTGCTTCCAAGAGTCAGGGCCAACAGCCAGAGTGCTGAACATGGACTAGTCTTAAAAGTCTCAGTCCAAAAGTTGTCAGTGCATTAATGCTCTGAACAGTTGCTCAGGGGGTAACCTGCTTTTGAAAATACCCAGAGGAAATGGGCTACTTTATTTTCATGTATGGTGAGAATATAACAAATAACTGTAGAGTCTCCTAACAGAGGTAACACAGAACAGTAATTTTCTTTGTCTGTGTAGAGGTTGGTTTTTGAGAGTGCAGCTGAACCATTTGTTTTGCTGAAGAACCTTCTTTACAGCACAGCTGAGCTGCAACACCAGTCCAGCAGCATGTAAAGGACATCCTAACTGATTCAAGGGCTGAAGTAACATTGGAGAGTGAACCACAAATCCAACTCCAGGAGCAAACCTTAAAACGGAGTTTCCAGTAACTGATTTAACAGTTGTTTTGACTGCAGTAGGGGAAATTGGATATCACAGGTTATCTTACAACATTCTTCCCTCTAGTGAAACGAAAAGTGAACCAGCCACCGAGTTTGTCAGTTTGCAGGGGAGAAGGGACAGCACCAAGGCAGAAATGGCATCACTTCCAAACTGTACAGGGGAACCAGAGGGGCCTGTGCTACACTGCACCAGGCAGAGCCTCCTCACTATCCACTACTGACAAAAGCAGTTGTGTCTGATCCTAAATACATCACAACAGAAAAACATCCTTTATAACATGGCTCGCTCGCCCTGAGTGGAGGCTGCCACAGGAAGGTGAAGTAGAGGAAGCTACTCCATCAATACAGAAACCTGAGCTCCTGAAAGGATAAAATAACATCTTCTTCAGTTTTGTCTCACCTCTGCCAGGTTTAATCTGAGTACTTTTGTCCCTCTTATGTAGCTCACTGTAAATCTGACCAGATTCCTGTGGCACTGGCTGCAAGAACTACACGAGGTCAAATAGTAACCAGAGGGAAAAAACCAGACCCCAAACCACTGGCTAAAGCAAACCTGGCAGGTTATCACACATGCCTAGAGTCAATACTGAGCTTTTCCATACTTGGAAAAAAAAATAAAATAGGCAGGAATTGCTTGTTTGGCAATAACTGCTGAAGTTTTTCCCTCCTTTGTGTCCAGCTCCTCCACACAACCCTGCCATGGGCTTTAAATCCACGCCAAGTTTTGTTCTGGAAAAATTCACACTGCTGTAAACATCTGCTGATTAAACATCATGAAAACATAACCAGCCATATTCCTCACCTAACCCTGGGCTCTCAGCTTTTTAGTTCAGCAGTTTGCTCTCCTAGCTGATATGTTTTGCTGCAGTAAAGGGTGAAGGCCCCTTTGAAGCCGTAAGGGCTCGTTAAAGGAGATCTGCAGGTTTTAATCAAAGCAGCAGCTCCTGCTCCTCAGCCCTGTGTGCAGAGAGAGGGGAAGGCACAGAGCTTTCCTGTGCACATCACCTCCCAAACCCAGCCACGCTGCACAGGTGCACCTGCTACCAAGTCCTGGGAAAAGAAGAACAGATGAACTAAAAAGCAGTGGCAAAAAAACCCATCAGAAATAACTCTGGTTTCCTGGTGTCATTTCTAGCCCAAACATTAATCATATGTTTTCTACATTTAGATTTCTAGGAGCATATGTTTTGTCTGCCGTGCTCATTTAACTAATAGAAGTTCTGTTGAGAAAATGTGAAATAAAATTGGCAGTAAAGTGATCTATATTTCACTTGCAACACATTATCAGCCTGCAGCTGAGGCTACAACAAATTCAAGAATTGATGTTACAAAACTACACACAATTTTTGTGGGGTTTTGTTTGGGTGTTTGTGGGGTTTTTTGATTTATTTTTTTCTCCCTTCCCCCCTTTTCTTTCAAATCCTACATTGGAACTTAGCTGGCAATTCAATGTAATAATGAGGATACACTCAACACCCTCCACCGATTCAGTGCTGGTTGGTGTCTCATAGAGAGCATTCACCAGCTCAAAGAAAATATTTTCAGATGAAAGACTAATGAGTGGGGGGGGAGGTGTGAACACAACCTCTCAAAAGCGTTTTTCTTCAAAACTATAAAATACACAAACACACCAGCAAAAACATTTTCACACAGAGTAGAAAGCATCACTTACCACACGCGCGGTTGGACAAACTGATAAATGATACTCAACACACGAGCCTAAATACACTCTGGGAAGATATTAAACTTTAATCAAAATACAGATTTTGAAATTTACCACCTTGTCTGTGTTAGATTTTTCAAATGTCTTGGGATTTGGTAGCCAATGCATTCAACCTTCATGCATTTAATGTAGTCCTTAGGCCAGACAAGGCCTTAGAATCAATCCTCTTGGATTAGCTTGGCAGAGCATCATTCAGGAGCTTGCACTGTCCCTCCTTTATGTTGTGACCTGTAGTGCTGTGATTAGGCTTCAGCCTTCACTCCCCAAAGTGGTATTTGGGATACAAATTGGCTTAAAATACACTCAGTAACACGAGCTGTCAAACATTACGAAGTGAAATGTAGCTTTGGAGACACACCCCTAAATGATACTCGAAATGAGGCTAAGAAAAAGCTGACAGAATGTACTTCAAACACTGTATTTATTACAAAGGTGCATAGAGTTTATGCCATTTGGTTTGAATACTTATGTTTAACCTACAAACAACATACAAAGCGAGGTTACAGTATGTAACAAAAGCAACAATGATTATCTACTAAATTCAATACAACAAAATATTCTACTGTATTTAATTTCACAAAACATTTCTGAAACAAAGGCACTTACAGAATTAAAACCAAATTAAGATATACTCTTTCAACATTTAAAGTTTTAGTTCCATTCCCCCTCCCTACAGCACTGTGGATAACTAGTGATGTGAAGGCAACAGCTACTTGGAATGACACACATCAGCAGTGCTTAAACTAAAAATTTATGGATCATCTCCTCTACTTTTTCTATAACCATCCCATTCCTTTAACTGTATAAAAACAAGCTTCAACAAGCTGCAGGGCAACAGGCAAGTAAAATTTGGTCCTACACCTTATTGTTAATGATGATAAATTCACTAACAATAAGAAAAGATCTGATTCTCTGCTCCAGTTGTGAACTGGATCATTCTCTCTTCTTTCAATGAGTTTTGTAACTGAGTTAGTAACACTGCTGCTGAAGTAGTTCCTTGTGCATTGATGACTCATCTCTTCACTTGTCCATAGTTATCATTAGCACTTGTTCACTGAAGAAGTGTCAATCTTGAGGCTCCTTAACCCTTCCCCTCATCTCCTCCCACCCCTACACACACAGGGGTGGCAATTCAGGACAATCTGTTTGGTCTGTGCAACTTCTACACCAAAACTTCACATTTGGGAACCTCTGTTATTGCTGCCACTTCACTTTCCTACTGCCTTCCCTCAGGGATGATGACTGAGCCAACCTGTCACAAAACTGCAGATTTCCCTTTCAGAACCCAAACATACCATTACCAAGACTGCCACAAACGGATCCATTTGTCAGAGCAGACGGAGGAAAGAAGAGCAGGGCACAGGAACAACCTCATCAAGCCCCACACTGGGATGTTCTGCCTGTGCTCTGAGAGCTGCTCTCCCTGGCCAGGCTCCATCTGAAGGTGCTGGAATAGTCTCTGCTCTCCTTCTACGTGAATAAACACAAGGGATCTACAGCAAGGGATTTATTTCTGCAGCTACTCAGTGCCCTCCCACACAGAAACATTCCAGGTTTCTAAGGCAACACTTCACCCTCCACACAGGACACACGATCCAGTGCTGGTTGTCTAACAGTGTAATGAAGCATTGCCTGATTTCTCAGCTGACAAGGCAGGAAAGAGGAGGAACACAGACACAGGATACATGGATACATGCTCTGTGAGTGCCTCTTGGCACCATTTCATGCTATTAACTTCAACACTCAGAGGTGTAACACAGGAGCACAGGTTGGCATGGATTTTGATGCTAAAAACTTTCTACAAGTTCCTTCTGAAATGCCCTGAAAACCTTCTCTAAAAAAAAAAATTAAAAAATTTCAGAATAATCCAAAAATAGACTCAACAATCAGGAAGAAAAACAAGGCTGCCTTTGGCAGCAGCAATTTCCACCCACTATATGAGGTAAAATAATGCCACCAAACAATATCTCCAAATGTAAAATCACGGGACAAATGGCTCGATGGCCTCTCCAAAAAAAGTAAAATCAGTGTAAAAGATATGTTAAAATTATGCATACAACTAACTAGATAGCTCTATGAGGATTAAAAACATATTGTATATCAATGTGAGAAAAGACAGAATTGTTGAGGACAGTGAAAAAAAAAAAAAACAACCAACAAAAAACCACCTTATTTGTTTGAGCAATACAAAATTTATGGAGACAAAAGCCCCAGCAGTGGTAATAGTCATGAGGATGTCTCAAGATGTTTCATGGCTGAAAGCACTATCTTCTGAAAAATATATTACCTGGCTGTGACCAAATCCCTGCTTTCCCTGACTTCTCATCTTCTGTTCAGCTTTATGGGAATGTTGAAGACAACAGGGAATTTTAATCCCTGCTTCGTGTTGGGCTGGGATTTCTTGTCCCTCCCTGCATTTTGTTATTCAAATGCAGACTGAGTTTATAAAGGTCTAGAATTCTTAGGTTCCTGCCACATACAGTTCCCACTAGAGACAGTGGTAAACCCTAAGCATCTGAAAACCCCAATCTACTGCTGACATCCCATCTCTCCTGTAAAACAAATTCCCTCCCTGTGATGAGGCAGGACTGAATGCTGGCAGGTATTTCTGCTTAACATGTGGTTAAATTGCTAATTTTTTTTCCAAACCCATCACAAGAAATGACTGGAGTAAGCTTGTCCAACAACACCTCAACAGGAAATACTTGTCCAATAATTTTTATGAAGAATTTTCAAGTTTCCAGCTTTTGAGATATTTGGTCTGCTAAGTGGCAGAGAGTTTGGATTTGTTGTTAATTCCTAGCTCTAACACCCAGTGGAGGCACAGTTTTAAAGCCTTCAAATTGGGAAAGAAAACAAGGAAATCACCAACTCGTGCTATTTAGAGCTAGTCCAGAGACAATTAAATATGGTTTGCTACCCCTTACTGAAGGCAAATGTGTTGCAAAAAAGGAAAATTCCCTTTTGAATGGTAAATGAAATGTATTAAATGGCAGCTTACCTAACAATAGTAGCTTCAAAACAGGCAGAACATACGTAACATGTATCAGGTAGTTTCTCAGAGGTTAAGTTTTTATGTTTTAATACTGTGCAAAAGATTGCTACAGCTTTGGGTGTTTGACAATGCTCATATTAGACCAATCCTTCCAAAATTATTGCACAGCAAATGTTATTGTGGTTCTGTATTTTTTAAGTACTCCTTCTTCATGCTTCTCACTGTACTTAGAGCAAAATCTCTTTTTCTATTTGCTTGAGGTATAAATGAACAACTTCTGCAAGAAAAATACTCCTTCCTCGGAGCATTAAACATACTGAATTACTTTTCACGTTATTTTAGACAAAAGATTGCTGTCTTCAAGAAAAATATACTACTGGTGCAGGGTGTAAACAGAACAAATTATATTTTGAAAAGTTTCATATGCAGAAGCACAGTAGAAGAGCTTTTCAATAGGTGGGTTTCTGAGGATCCATGTAAGCAGGGTTGTAAGGGGGCTGGCTTGGGTAAGGGGCTCCAGCACCAGCTGCAAAAGCAAAACACAAAGAAAAAACAGATTTATAGAATGTACATTCTGAATTCTACATATAAAATGGCAACTTCTGGTTTCAGCACATGATTAAGAGGTTCAACTTATCCAGCATCTTAGCTGGACTTGAGAACAGCTTGTGCTCACTCACAGAGCATCTGCATTTCAGAAGTGAAATCATAAAAACCTTCATTCTTATGGGATTTTGGGGTTTTTTTGATGCTAAGTATACATGTGAATTATGGCAGCCACAAGCTCATGGTTTGTCTTCAGGGTAGAACCTAGTCCAAAAAAAAAAATAAAAAAAGGGAACAGATCTGGTCCAAAAGAGAGCAAGTGGAAGTCAGGGTTGCACAAACAACAGGATACACCTGACGGTGTGCCAAGAAAAAAAATAAACCTCTGGGCAAAAGAAAAAGGACTAGAGAAATCAAATTTTAGGATTCGTTCAGGGAAAATGCTTTCCTCCTAAGTGTCACAGAGTTAATTAAAAAAGTAAAAGGGAAAAAAGTATCCCACCACTACTGAGCCATTGAAGAGTTTAACTTAGACCCTCGGAAGGCAGCCTTGTTTTCCAATATTGTGAGACAAGCTGCTCTCAAGTGGCACCTTCATTTTCAGGTCTGGCAAACAGCACTAGTTCAAGTAATGCAGCAGCTGATCAGATCCCTGGAAAGTGTAAGTGTTGTTATCTCCTGCTGATCTTGTAAAGTGAGTGGGTTTGGCTCCTGTTTGGCAGAGCAGGTATCCTCTCCCCAGGGTGTGACCTAATTAAGAGCCTGCTCCTTGGTTAATAGACAGGAGAAATGAAGGAAGGAACTCTCACAATGAGACATTCTCAGCTGGCAACATGGAAAGTGCTTTGGGATGCTCCCAGAAATAAAAACCCAACTTGTTCTAAGAACTAACAAACCAGCAACAGTTTGAGAAACCAGAGGGTAGAAGTAAAGTGACTCCCTCACACGAAAAAATTGAAGTCAAAGCACTTTGGCATAATCCCATAAAACCCACA